ATATCTTGACTGCTACTTCCATGAGTGTTGATGGTTGATCCGAGCAAACTGAAGTCTTTAACAACTTCAATCTTTCCCCCATTTATATGTATATAAATGGGGATAATATATACTGAGTTTTTATTTATACTGGTAAGGATTTTTGTTTTATTTCGAGATACAATCCATACTGAAGGCTGTGGTCTTTGACCTTCATCAATATTTTAAGTCATATTCACTTTCAGCAAGAAAGGCTGTTATCATCTGTATATCACAGGTTGTTAATGAATCTTTTAAACTTGAAATCATTCGGTGTTCGCATGTTCTATTCGAACAACTGCCTCTTGGTCTATGTACAGGTTCCTCATGAGTACAATTAAGTGTTCTGGAATACTCATACTTAGTAATGTTGTCATGATCCACACAATCGAAGGCCTTTGCGCAGTCAATAAAGCACAGGTAAACATCTTTCTGGTATTCTCTGCTTTCAGCCAAGATCCATCTGATGTCATTAATGATATCCCTTGCTCCACATCCTTTTCAGAATCCAGCTTTTGCCCATAGAAGCCTTCAATACTACAAGTCAAATCTTGAATATTTTCTTCAGTTCCCTCAGCTTAAGAAATGCTGAGTATTTTCTTTCCTTTTGTTTTTCAAAACAGGAGGTACTCAAAATATGATGAGCTGCCTCCTCAAAGTGGATCTGACCATAATGGTGTGAATGCAGCAAAGCTTTCATTTGCTGATGGGGCACAACTCAAAATGACAAGAAACAGCTGTCAACATCCATTAGGTATCAGAACATAGAATGTACAAAGTATGAATTCAGGAAAATGAGGTGTCAAAAATGAAATGGAACACATAAAAACCAATATCCTATGAATTAGTTTTGGCCATTTTGAATCAGACAATCATATGATTTACTATTCTGGGAATGACAAATTCAACAGGAATGGTGTCACATTCATCATCAAAAAGAGCATTTCAAGATCTATCTTGAAGTACAATTCTGTCTGCAATAGGATAATATACATACATATAAAGGAAGACCACTATTATTAATATATCTATTATCACTATTATTCAAATTTATGCACCAACCACTAAAACCAGTGATGACTGAAGAATCCTACCAATTCTTCACTTTCCTGGTATGGCATTGTTGGATAAATATTGGACTGTTAATCACAATGTCAGCAGTTCAAAATTGCCAACTGTTCCTCAGAAACCCTATACAGAGTCACTATAAGTCGGAACTGACTGAACAGCACTTAACAACCACAAAAACTTATTCAGTCTGAAGTTGATCCAACATACAATCAAGGTGAACTGATGCTTACTGTTGATTGGAATATGAAAGCTGGAAACAGAGGATGAGTAGTTGGGAAATATGGCCTTGGTGATAGAAATGATGCTAGAGATCACATGATAGAATTTTGCAAGATCAGTGAATTGTTCATTGCAAATACCTTTTTAAACAACGTAAAAGGCTACTACTATACACTTGGACCTCACCAGATAGAATAAACAGGAATCAAATTGACTGTATCTGTGGGGAGAGATGGTGGAGAAGCTTAATATCATCAACCAAAGCAAGGCCAGGGGAAAGTTGTGGAATAGACCATCAACTGTTCATATACAAGTCTAGATTGAAATGGAATAAAATTAAAAGAACTCCACGAGAGCCAAAATATGACCTTGGGCACATCCCACTTGAATTTAGAGACCATCTGAAGAACCGATTGGATACATTAGACACTAATAACCAAACAACAGCAGAGTTATAGGATGACATCAAGAACATCACACAAGATGGAAGCAAAAAGTTATTAAAAAGACAGGTAAGAAAGAAAAAACGAAAATGGGTGTTAGAAGAGACTCTGAAACTTGCTTTGAGTATAGCGAAGCTAAAGCAATTAGAAGAAATGATGAATAAAAGAACTGAACAGAAATTTTGAAACTACAGCTTGAGAAGACAAAGTAATGTATTGTAATAAAATGTGCAAAGACCTGGAGTTAGAACATCAAAATGGAAGACCATGCTCAGCATTTTGCAACCTGAAATAACTGAAGAAAAAAATTCAAGCCTCAACTTGAAACACTGAAAGATTCTATGGGCAATGATACAGAAATATTGAATGATACAGAAAGCATTGAAAGATGGAAGAAATACAGAATCATTGTAACAAAAAGAAATGGTTTAACCATCTCGAGAGGTAGCATATGATAAACAACTGATGGTATGTAAGGAAGCTGTCCAAGTAGCACCGAAGGTATTGATAAAAAGCAAGTCTCCAGAAATTCAGATTATTAATTGAAATCTTTCAACAAACTGTTACCGCACAGAAAGTGCTCACTCATCTATGCCAAGAAATTTGGAAGACAGAAACATGGCCAATCAATTGGAAGAGATCCATATTGGGGCCCATTCCAAAGACAGGTAACCAAAAAGAATGTAGAAATCACTAAACAATATAACTAATACCACAGGTAAATAAAATTTTGCTGAAGATAATTTGAAAAAACAGTTGTAACAGTCCATCAACAGAGAACTGCCAGAAATTCATGCCAGATTCAGAAGGGGGATGTGTGTAATGGTAGTTTGGTGTCAACTTGAGTAGGTCAGGATTTCCAGATGTTTGGCAGTTGAGATGTGCTTATTCCCATGGTGAAGAAATGGAACGCAGGCATAGTTAACTGTATGGTGAGTGGCTCTGAGTACCCAATCAATGAAAGGGATGCTTCCTTGGGGTGTGGCCTGCTCCTACTATAATGGACAGGCAGGAAAGGCTGTCTCTTCTGTGGGGACCTGGGACTCTACACTTGTAAGGCATTTCCTTGATAATAAACTTTAGCTAGCTAGCTAGCTACACACATACATATGTATGCTTCACTGGTTTCGCTTCTCTAGAAAGCCCAGCCTAAGACATGTGGTACTGAGAAAGTGGGGTTCTCAGGTACTTACAAAGGCTCTGGAAGGCCTGGGGAAGTGGTCCCCCATGATATCACCACTGGAGTTGTTGAATTTCACAACATACTGCCATATCAGCCATCTAGCTCCTCCCAACACAGGAAGTTGGACTTGGACACTGGGATACAGGCTGGGGCATTCACTGCTGCCTCTTGATGCCCACAAAGCCAGAAACCTGGTGCTGCGGATCCTCTCCACCTCTGGGCCCCCAGAACAAATGACTTAGGCCTCACTTCACCCACCCACATTGTTCAGAGTGCAGTTAATGAGTGGGATCTATGAAGAGGCTTCAAAATTCATGGGAAAATGAATTAAAAGATCCTGACATTTTCCCATGAACTCTCTGAAGTTCCCTCATATTCCTCATGCAAAACTCTAGTGCAAGGGAGCCAAAAAAATGTAATTGTTCTCAACTTCAGATGTAGGTGATGTTAATCATTGCTCTAAGATCAAGCTAGCCAGTCCATCCATATATCCACCCCCATTTTACTCAACTAGTCCTCTAGTGCTGGACACTAGTTGACCTCCAACTTACTCTGCCCCGGGTATGCTGTAGTGAACATTCTTATAGAGCCCATAGGGACCTGGGTGACCACTGCTCTGAGATCCAGACCAGGAGCAGAATTGCTGAATCATAGCTTACGGATATGTTTGATTTGACTATGTGATGTCAGTGTGAAAGTTTTTTGCTTTGCATCCTTTCAGAATATCTGGGAAGGCATACAAAGAGGTGGGGTGAAATGAGTGGACCACAGTCTACCCCTTTGCATATTCAATGTCCACATCTGCTAGTTTCCACTTGTCCTAGGCTGCCTTTCTTTGTCCCCACTTGGGGCAGGTGGCAAGACTGACTCACAGGAAATCGGAGTCTGGAAGCCACAGAGGTATGGGCAGTGAGAGGCCCTTCGCACCAAACATTATAGCCCTGCCCTTGGTCATTGTTCCACGTAGCACTGCAGCCTGTGGCTTCCTCCCATCCTGGGGGCTGGCCCAGGGCATAGAGTTGGGGACTCCCTGTCCCCTGCAGCTGATGCTGAGGTAATGGAAATCTGCCATGGGATGACAAAACATTTTATCACCAACCAGCTGGGTGACTTAAGCAAGTCACTCAGCCTCTCTGACCGACAGATTGCCTCATCTGCAGGGGCCTGCAGGGTGGTTGCAAGGATTAAATGAAGCAACATTTGTGGAAAACACCAGCTCAGGACTTGGCAGCAGATGGCCTCCATAAAGCTGAACCCTAAGTGCCTGGCAGAGTGGAAAAGGCCAGGCTCGGTCTTACCTGGGAGTGCTCCTACACAGATGGGGGCTCTCGGAGGTTGGGGTTAGGAAAAGCTAGGTAAATTTAGCTCAGACTCAGTGGCATGGGCTTGCATGTGACAAAACTTGACTAGAAGACAACAAATTTGTTTTTGACGTGGCATCCTCTCAGCCTATCTTCCTAACTGGCAGCCACCACCCAGAATCCACTTCAGTCAACAGAGACTGGGGAGGCCTCCTGCTTCAGGGAAGGGACACCTGGCCCCTGAGCCCCCTCTCCCCAGTTCAGGCTAGCGAGCCATCATCTAATTTAATCTGAGTACCCGAAGGTCCTAACTAAATTAATTCCCACTCAGCGTGAGGAGCCTAAATAGCAGAACAGAATCAATTTATGGGTTTCTGAGCCTCATCTTTCTCTACGGTCAGAACTTATTTACAGTGAAGAGTCCAATGCTTAACTCACTGCAACCCTTGGGAGTTGGAGAAAATGCCACTCCACAGGCCTGGTCCCGGCTTGTTCCTAAATTCAGAGACGTAGGTTGTTCTCTGCCTCGGATGGGGGATTCAGGAGAATTCTAGTGTGTCCTACCATGCTGGTTCTTACTCTGGAAGATTTCTTAGGGCCTGTGAGACCCTCTGCCCCATCCACAGAGCCAAAGAATACAAGGCAGGAGAAGAACTCTGGTGAACACAGGGGTTTTTTTTTTGTTTTTACGAAACGAGTCACAGAGATAAAGTCGCCTCTCAGACAAGCCTTCACTCCTGCCCCAAACTGGCCCTACTCAAGGGATCAGGCAGCAGCCGACAGCCCCCGAATGTAGTCCCCTGCCAGGGGCAGCACAGTCCAGTCGTCAGTCCGCAGGGCCACAGACACTCCGTCCACCTGGGCGTCCCCCAGACGCAGCAGCAGTTTGGAGGCTGGTGGCAGGTGGATAGCTACAGAGTAGCTGATAGGGGGCTGGGCGGCCACCACAAAGGGCTCTAAGTGGTGGGACACCAAGGCTTCTAGTCCCTGTGGTCCCAGGGGACACCACACGCGACTCTCGGCGCCTTTGGGCAAGCAGGAGGCCCAGAGCTCATCAAAGAAGCTGGGACCAGTTCCCTCGGAGGGTGATGGAAACGGCAGGAAGAGATCCTGGAAATTCACCAGCAGGGGCGGAAGCTGGGCATGGCAGGTGAGGCCAGTGGGCGTGGTGTAGAGGGCGCTGACACCCAGATGGCTGGGGGCTGGACGGCGGGGATGCAGGGGCAGGGGTAGAAGGCGGGCAGGGTGGTCGGGGCATAGGAAGGGCACGTGCACCATCTCCAGGGGCTCGTAGACCTGCCCTTCTACCCGGAAGCGCAGCTCCAGGGAATAGAGTGGCTGCAGCGCCTCCACCTGGAGGTGCAGCACCGGACTGCTGCCATGGACCCTGCGAGGCCCCACGCTCAGCCGCAGCGAGGTCGAGGCCGGGGCCCCTTGCACAGTCAGGGCTGCCGCAAAGCCCTGGTTCTCAGCCACCAGCGAGGAGGCCAGTGCAGGTGCAGCAAGCGAGGGGCCCAGGGCCATCCCCAGCTTGTGTCCTGAGAGGTGGGCCAGAAGGAGATAGTAGAGGCGTGCATGATCGCGTCCATCAGGGTCCTCCAGTTGCACGGCCAGTGCCTGCAGCAAGTCTGCCAGGCCTTCCCCTCCACCGGCCCGCATTAGGTTCCGGCAGACCTGCAACAGAGCCTGCTGGAGACCCCAGTCCGAGCAGTGGGAGGCTGCAGCCTGGAGGAAGCGCAGGGTAGTACTCTGGGCCTCCCCATCCACCACCTTTGCCAGCGTCTGCAGGTGCCATCGAAGAGCCCCTTCCCTGCTCGTCCCCAACACTACCTCGTGCCGCAACACCATCTTCAGGGGCTCCCCTAGCTCAGGACCCACTGAACTCAAAAGATCCACAAAATGGGGGGCCAGAGCTGGCCGGGTCTGATACAGCTGAGCCAATCCGTGCGTCAGAGGAGTCAGCACTGTAGGATACCCGGACAGGCAACGGGCAACCAGGTACGAGGCCTGGAAGCAGAGCGTAGCTGAGGTTCGGGGCCCCCCAGCCAGGGCAGCCCTTTGCCGGAGGCCAGCCAACAGCGTCTCCAGGTATTGCTGTAGGCTCTGAAGCTGGCCTCTCTCCTCCTCTTCGTGCTCAGCCCAGAGTAGACAAAGCAAGTGTAGACGGGCCAGGAGGGCCATTGGGTCATGCAGGAGGTTGGGCAGGAGGCCTTGGCACAGCTGGGGTCCCAGCAACAGCGGGGTGGCCTCCTCACCATCGGGGCCCAGTGGACAGTTCTCAGGGAAGTTGAGGAGACAGTGCAGATAGAAGAGATGGGTAGGTGGAGGCAGGGCAGGGTGCTGGGCAGCCACAGTGAGCCTCTGGAGCAGCAAGACTTCATCCTGGGCAGTGAACAGGGCCTCCCCAAAGGCCGCCTTGAGCGCCAGAACGGCGTGCAGTAGGGTCAGCTGTGCTGTGCTTAGTAGCCGTACCAGCTGCGGTTTGAAAAGAGCTGGCGGCTGGCCACGCAGGCCCTGCAGGCCCCAGCCCAGCAGCCACAGGAGCTGGGCCTGGGCCACAGGAGTGAGAAGGTACGAGGCATCCAAGAGCTGGGCCACGGTGGCCCGCAGTTCACGGGCCTCCTCAGGACTGGGCTCTAACGCTGCAAGGCCACCCTCCTCCTTCTCAGCTGCTGGCCAGCAGGGGGCCTGGGGTTTTAAGTGGGCATCCCCTTCTCCAGCTAGTGTCCAGTCCCAGGGACAAGAGCCATCCCCAGTGGGGAGGTCCCCGCCCAGCAGCAGGCCCCAAAGGCTGGTCCCAGCCCTGGCCCGTGCCACCAAGGCATTACGCAGAACAAGGGTAAGCAGCAGGCTGAGAGGCTGGACGGGAGCCTCCCGCCTCAAGAGGCCCCGCAGCAGCCCCAGACAGCTCCATAGCAGCCCGGGTTGGCAGCTCTCTAGTTCCCGCAGGCACTCCAATGCCGTGGCCTGCAGAGGGCGCTGCTCTGAGTCCAGGCCAAAGCCCCGACCCAGAGCTCTACCAGAGGCCAGGTCTAGCAACAAGCGCAAGAGGCGGCCAGAAGCCCCTGAGGTGGGGCCCAGTGCACCTCCTGCTATCAACGCTGTGGTGGCCGCCAGCAGCAGGGGCCGTCGGAGAGCTGAAGGCCGGGGGGATAGGAGGTCCAGGGTGTCCAACAAAGAGGTAGTAGCCGCCTCAGCCACAGAGGCGTCGGGCCACAACTGGTCTGGGAACTCCAAGCTCAGGACCAGCAAGGAAACCTGGGGATTGGGAGAGAATGGTGAACATGAAGGACAGCGTGTGGAGATTTGGGGTGTAATAGCGTCAAGGGAAGAGAATTGAGTACCGGGCCTACCTTCGTCTGTTCGCTCAGCTTCTCACTCCGAAGACCACTCAGTAGGTCACGACCCAAACTCTCACCCTCAGGACCTGCCATGAAAGCAGATGGGCTGGCCCGAAAGGCACCCAGGCGCTGGGCCCAGGCTTCTCGGCTCAAGGATCCCATGGTTAGATGCTTGGAACTCTGTGTAGAAGAGGAGAAGGATCATGCCACCAGAGGGCGCTCGCCAGTCGGGACCCAGTCCCTCCCCCACCCCCGTTTCCATTCCCTCTCCCCCTACCCCACCCTCTCCCGTTCCCTAAGAGGGCTGCTGTCACCAAGAACTGTCTGGGAAATTGCAGCCACTCTTAGCCCTCCACACTGCCTCCCAAGATGAAACTGGCAGGTTTCAGGCAATGACACCGGGGCGGATCTCCAGGATCCCCGCAGGCAGGCGTGCGGGCGAGCAGGGCGTGGCGCCGGGCGGGCCGCGGCACGGGGTGCGTGCCGAGAGCTCATTAGGCCACCGGCCCGCGGCCGGCACCGAAACCACAGCGCCGCCCGGGCCCCCGGCGCCCGTGGTAACGGGCCGGCGGCTCTCACCCTCTGACTCAGCCGCCGCAGGCCTTGGCCAACCGGCTCCTTCCGGGCTGGCGGGCGACGGGGCAGGGCATGGGGCGGGGCCGTAACGGGGCCACCACCTCCCCACCCGCCTGCAGGTGCCGACTCGCCGGTTTCGCTGGGGCTGAGTAACTGTTCCTCCGCTCACAGGCCCCCTTCCCCGAAACCGCCGCAGGCCCAGGCAGAGGCGGGGGAGCTAGGTGGGTCCGGTTCCCCCACACCGGGGCAGGCCGGCCCCCAACAGCTCCTACAAGGCACCGGCTCACAGCCAGCGCGCCCCCGGCCGATGCGCGGACGCACTGCATCCTGCTCGGACCGAGGGCCCGGAGTGGCCACTGGGGGGCGCTCAGGTTGCGATCCTGAGGATCCACAGGAAGTGCGCGCAGCAGCCCTTGCTGAACCGGTCAGGTGGCGCCGCAGGGCTTGGCTTCGCTTCCCCGACGCCACCCGCTCGCGCCCCCCCACCCCCAACACGCACGCTCGGCTTGGGGGCGCGGAGGAAGGTGCCAGGGTCGTGGCTTGGAGGAAACGGCTGGCCTTTGCCCAAGGTCATGCCAGGGTCCGCTGCGGTTAAGGCGGATAGGGCCGTAGCCGCTGGGAAACAACGGGATCCAGGCTAGGGACAGGACGTGCGGGCTGCCACGGTCTGTCAGGCCCTCAGGCTCACAGAGCACTGATCTTAGACAGGGAAACTAAGGCCAGGAGGAAAGAGGCCTGGGGCCAAGTGGGCCTGATCCTGGCTTTTGAGACGCTATGGGGAGGAGGGGGCGACATGCGCCCCCTCTGACCGCCGGGTTTCCAGGGCAGAGATCCTAGGGCGTCCAGCCCCACCGCCTGCCCAACTCCACTGCCTCTAATTAGCCTGCTTTGAAGATGAAACAGTCCTAAGCCCCCGTGCCACCCGCTGCCAACTGGCTTCTCCCCACCCCATCTATCCGGGAGGTGGGGAGTGGCAGGGTCTGGGGTGGGGTAGAGCGGGCTAGAGAGGAGGCTGTCTGGGCTGCTGCCGCCTAGGGTGCGGAGAAGGGACATGGAGATGGATCCACCCGGGGAGACAGGTCCAGCCGGAAGACCTAGCCCGGCTCCTTTGGCCCCTACTGCTGGCTCCACTGATGACTCACAGGCGGCAGCCCCAAACCACTTCCTTATATGTGCCTCAGTTTCCCTATCTATAAAATGGGAGTGGTGACTCCAGCCTCAGAGGCTGGGGGTGGGTCGGCCTGGCTAATTAAACTAAGATGAAAGAGGCCGAGATGAGAGCAGCTGCTAGGGAAGGGAGTAAGGCTGTAACAGGGGCCTGTCTGGTTTCCCTGTCTGAGGCCCAGAGGGTGCTGATAACTGCACATCCCGGCCTCACCACTCCCAGTGAGGAGGAACGATTATAAACCCCTTTTACAGTTGAGACATCCTTCAAAGGCACAGGGAGCCAGACTTTGGCTGTGGCCTGCTCAGCTTCTGACAGTGGTGCAGTCTCTGCCAAATTCCAGCCGTTCTGGCCTCCTGTTTCTTAGGAAGAGGGGGGTACCATTCCCAGGTGAGGAAGGGTGGTCCACAGGGGTGCAGCCACTGGTCCCAGGTCACACAGCACTGCCCTTGGCTTGGCCCCAAGTCAACTATCCTCAGGTCTCTTAGGGTGTTCAGGGCTTTGGATGGGCGCTGCTTGCACCTGCCTATCCAGGTGTCTGCTCCCTTGTGGGAGGGTGGTGCTGTGTCTGTTATGACACAGTCCAACAGCATGGAGGACATGAATGTTTTCTGAGTCCACAGTCAGCAGGCCCCCACCCCCCACCCCAAGTGTGACCTCCCTGCCACGAGAGCCCAGGCCAGGTGGCTGATCAAGGAACTGCCTGCTCAGTGTCCACACCTCATTCCTTCTCTCTTTGCTGGGCTTCTATTCTCTTTGGTGCAGCCCGGCTCTATGTGGGGAGACCCTAGGTCCAAGGCTTGGGAATGAGATCAGTTTTCTCATCTATAAAATGGGGTAATACTTCTAACCCATCCTCCCAACACTGTTAAGTGCTGTTGAGTCGGTTCCAACTCATAGCAAGCCTGTGTAAGGTTGCCAAGCCTTTTTAAATCGTCATAGGATTAGAAAGGCTCATCTGTTCTCCCATGGAGAGGCTGGCGGGCTTGAACCACAGACCTTGTGGTTCACAGTCCAGTGCTTTTTGTATGGAGCGTCCCGGCACTACTCACTGCTAATACCAGGATACTTGAAAAAGAATATTATACACATTGTTGTTGTTGTTGTTGTTAAGTGCCGTCGAGTCGGGTCCGACCCATAGCGACCCTGTACAGGGTTTCCGAGGGTGTAAATCCTTACGGGAGTAGAAAGCCTCATCTTTCTCCCGCGGAGCGGCTGGTAGTTTCGAACCGCTGACCTTAAGGTTCGCAGCCCGATTCGTAACCACTACGCTACCAGAGCTCCCATAAAAATGGTTAAATGGAATATATCTTACTAAATAAAAAAATATTTAAACGTTGTCAAATCATTTCGTTAAGTGCCATCCAGTTGGTACCAACTCATAGTGACCCTGTGCACAAGAAAATAAGACACAGAGCTATAGGATAAGCAACCATCATGGCTCACTTGAGCCCATCACTGCTGCCACTGTGCCAATCCAATTATTAGGGGTCTTCCTTTTTTTCTCCAAGCCTCCACTTTACCAAACATGATACATCTTCTCCAGTCACTGGACCCTCGTGATAATATGCCCTAAGTATGAGCGATAAAATCTGGCCATCCTGGCTTCTAATGAGCACTCTGGTTGTACTTCCTTCAACACAGATCTGTTGGTTCTTCTGTCCATGGCACCTTCGATATTCCAACACCATAACTCAAAAGCATCAATTTTTCTGTGGTCTTCCTTATTCACTGTGCAACTTTCGCATGTATATGAGGTTACTGAAAATATCATGGCTTACGTCAGGTGCACCTTAGTCCTCAAACTGACATCTTTGCTCTTCAACACTTTAAAGAGGTCTTGTGCAGCAGATTTGCCTAATGCAGTACGTCGGTTTGATTTCTTGACTGCTGCTTCCATGAGTGATGATGGTTGACCCGAGCATAATAAAGTCTTTGGCAACTTCCATATTTCTCCATTTATAGGGATGTTGTATAATGGTCCAGTGGTGAGGATTTTTGTTTTTTTTTTACATTGAGATGCAACCCATACTGAAGGCTGTGGTCTTTGATTTTCATCAATAAGTATTTTAAGTCCTCTTCACTTTGAGCAAGCAAGGCTGTATCATCTACTTATCGCAGGTGGTTAATGAGTCTTCCTCCAATCCTGATGCCACATTTATCTTCATGTAATCCAGCTTTTCTGATTATTTGCTCGGCATAGAGACTGAATAAATATGGTGAAAGAATACAACCCTGGCACACACTTTTCCTAATTTTAAACCATTCTGTGTTTCCATGTTCTGTTCAAACAACTGCCTCTTGGTCTATGTACACGTTCCTTGTGAACACAATTAAGTGTTCTAGAGTAGTCCTTCTTTGCAGTGTTGTCCAGAGCTTGTCATGATCCACACAATCGAAAGCTTTTGCATAGTTGATAATGCACAGGTCTTTCTGGTATTCTCTGCTTTCAGCCAAGATCCATCTGACATCAGCAATGATATCCCTTGTCCATGTCTTCTTCTGAATCTAGATGGAACCTCTGGAAGTTCCCTGTCAGTGTATGGTTGCAGCTATTTTTGGATTTAGTAAAACCTTACTAACATGGGATATCAATGATATTTTCCACATTCCTTTGGGTCACCTCTCTTTGCAATGGGCACTAATACGCATCTCTTCCAGTTAGTTGGCCAGGTAGTTGTTAGTTGTCTTCCAAATTTCTTGGCATAGATGAGTGAGTGCCTCCAGTGCCGCATCAGTTTGTTAAAAGATTTTAATTGTATTCCATCAATTCCTGGAGCCTTGTTCTTTGCCAATGCCTTTAGTACACCTTGGACTTCTTCCTTTAGGATCATTGGTTCTTGATCATATGCTATCTCTTGAAATGGTTGCTCATCGACCATTTCTTTTTGGTACAGTGACTCGGAGTATTCCTTCTATCTTCTTTTGATGCTTTCTGCATGACTCAGTATTTTGCCCAGAGAATCCTTCAATATTTCAAGTCAAGGCTTGAATTTTTTCTTCACTTCCCTCAGCTTGAGAAATGCCGAGTGTGTTCTTCCCTGTGAAACCATTTACATTACAAAAAAGAAAAAAAAAAAAAAAAAGCAGTAGGTAAATCCAGAGAGACAAAGAAGATTCATGGTTTCCAGAGACCAGGAGTGGGGAAATGGAGGGTGATGGATAGTGGGCGCAGGGTTCCCTCTGGGAGTAAGGAAACTGTTCTGGAGTTAGAAAGTGGTGATGGTTGCACAACTTGGTGAACAGACTAAACCAATGAATTCTATACATTAAAAGGGTGAATTTTATTGAATGTGAATCATAGCTAAATAAAGCTGTTATTTTTAAATGGTGCTTAAAACACACACACACACAAGTCCCTAGGGTGGCTAGAATGCAGACGTTGGCAAAGATTGTGAAGAAATTGGAATCCTCTTTCGCT